AAAATATGGCGGGCATCTATTTTTAAAATCTTTCCAATAAAGCATAACACAAATCTCAAAATATTTAAATACTGAACATTTAATTTAAAAAAAGAGGTAAATATGAGGAGGGAGGCAGAGAGGGAAGGGAGAAAATTATTGGAAACTCAAAAGCTTATGGAAGTGAATATTGAAAACTAAAAATAAATTAATTTTTTAAAAGAGGTAAATCAAAAATGGGATGAATTTAAATTATGAACTTGCTAAACAAAAATTTTTAAGCCTTTTGTTTTTATAAGTTCATGGCCTTCAGTACAAAGAACCAGAATGCATGTCATAATATCTGCATCATAATACCCTTGTGGCGCATTTTAAAGAAAAATACACACAGACACATATCTTGGAACTGGGCCAGTGTTACTCTCCAGGGGAATAATGTTCTGCACCTTAAATTACAATCAGATGGATTTTAGCACAGATCAAGTTTTCAGTCTAAAATTGGTGAGAAGCCTAATTATTTGACCAGGTTACTATTTATATAGACCACTCCACAGCTATCTGTGGTTTATCCACAGCTGGCAATGTGCTAGCTCTGGAAGGTTTTTATTTTATGCTGGAACTTTTTTTTTTTAAGGAAAGAAAAGAAAAGAAAAAAGCTTTAAACTCTGCTCATTAGATGAAACACTAAAAGCCAGTGCATATTACTATGGAGACAAGATGTTGCATAAACTGTTCACTTTAATTCTACAAGCTACCAAAATAGCAAAGGAAGCAGCTTGCATGCTTGTTGTTTTCCAGTGACATGGCATTTGGTGGGCTAGGGCATGAAAACATTTTTTAAATACTTTGGTTCCTGTGACCATTAGTCCTTACTTTCAAGAACATCTAAACTTATTTTAGATAAATTATGGCTTAGATCATGAATGTAATGATAAAATATTATATATAATAACAATAAGGAACTGTTATCTGAATGGTTATTAGAAGTCATGTTAATGTCATTATAGCTTCAGACTACTGTTTCTATTATAAAATCTGTTGTCAATTTCTCGGCATTTGTGGCACATTAAATCCTTCAAAGGACTGGCACAAATGACCTCTTAATATGAATGAACTTCTTAATGCAGAAAAATAAGCTTCTGAACAGCAAAGTAAACCTCATTCTTCCTACTTCAGTACTTTGATCATCAGTAGACTATTTTACTGACATTTTAAAAGAATTGCTCCCCTCCTCTCACTGTTTTTTATTTGCTTTTGTGCACTCATTGGGTGTATCACAAAAAATGAAATAGACTCTATTGTAACAAAGAGGAAACAACTGGTCACAAATGTACTTCTGTCTTTATTAACCTGTTAAACCTATTCTCTCAGGCATTACAATGACCTCCTAATTTCCAAGGCTACTTGCCTGTCCCTTTTTTCTTTGGGGATTGCATATCATCCTTGATCCTTATACAACTCTCAATTCCACCTTCTCCTACTAGTCCCTGCTGCTCTGGCTTCTGAGACGCCTCCCTGTATGGTTTCTCTTCCTACCTCTTCAAGTGTTCCTTCTCCAACCATTTTGCTAACTCTTCATTTTCTTCCCAATTTGTTAACATACCGATTTTTCCTCAAGGATCTGTTCAGGTCCATTTTCTTTTTAAGTTCTGCTTCCTTAGGAATTTTATTTACTCCTGTGGCTTCAGTGACCACTTCAGCAGGCTCCCTCATCCTTGTTTCCAGTCTTGACATCTCTTTTGAACTCCATTCTTAAATCGGTAAGAATGAGGAAGGGGAAAATCTCCACCTGCATGTCTGTACCAGTACCTCAGATTCAATAACCTAGCTCATTATTTTTCCTCTTAAGCCTGCTCCTCCTTCTTATTTTATCATTGCTCTTTGTCACACTGCCAACTAACCTCTCTTTCAGTCTGTAAACATCCATTTATCTTTGACTCTTCTTTTTCCTTTTTATAAAAATAAATTTTATTGATATCTTTTGTTTTTACATCACCTACATTTTCCAGTGTTTTCCTTCCCCTTCTTAGAGAACCATCTGTAATAACAAAGAACAAAAAAGAGGGGAAGACAGCTCAGTGTAACAGATATATTGAAAGTTTGACATTATATAGTGTTCCACGCCATAGTTAGACTTGTGTAAAGAAGTAGAAGGAGATGCTTTTCCTTCATTATTAATAATGATGGTGGCAGTAGTGATGATATTTGAAATTTATATAGTGCTTTAAAGATTGCAAACTGATTTACACATATTATTTCACTTGACTCTCACAACAGCCGGATCAAGTATTAGTTACTTTTTGCACCATTTTACAGATAAGGAAATTGAGTCTTTTTTTTTTTTGAGATTGAGTCTTAAAGAGGTTATATGATTTCCTATGGTCACACCACTAGCAATTTCAGAGGTAGGATTTGACCACATTTTCAGTGCTATGCATTATGTCACATTGCCTCCCTGAGACCTTTCATATCTAAGGCACTTACCTAGACCTATTAATTCTATCTGTAAAATTTCTCCTATCTTGCCACTGTTTTGTGTTCCTAGGTCCCCATCCTGCCACAGACCCTAGTTTGCAGCCACCTAGGTCCTTATAAACCTTCCTGCTTCTACTGCCCAACACCCCTGCTATCCCTTCCCACCCTCTATTTATCCTTCATACTACTTTTAGTTATGGTTATGTCATTACTTTGTTCATTCATCTTCAGGAGCTCTCATTTGTTTACTAGGCAGTGCTAATACTCTTCTGCATGGCATGGAAGTCCTGCCATAATCTGGCACCAACCTTCTTTTCCAACTTTTTGTGATGTAGCTGTTGTCTGTGTACTCCATGCTCCAGCCAAACTGAACTACCTTCTCCTCTCCCAAATACATTCTGAGCTCCCCTGCCTCTTTGCCTCTGTTAGTGCTATCCTGTTTTCTTGGAATACTCTCCCTACCCTTCTTTTCGTATTTAATTCCCAGTTATAACTTACTTTAAAGAAATTTTTTTCCGTTAACAAAAATCTACCTTTCTCCTACCTACCTCTCTATTGAAAAAAGAAAGAAAAACAAAACTCTTGTAACAAGTACTCATAGTCAAGTAAAACATAATTCCTGCATTGACAACGTCCAAAAAATGTCTCAGTCCTACTCCCTGAGTCCATCTTTTCTCTGTCAGGAGCCATGAGTAGTAGCATCTCATCATTCATCCTCTGGAATCATAATTGGTCATTGTATTGATCAGAGTTAAGTCTTTCAAATGTTTTTTTTTCTTTTTTAAATTAATTTATTTTTAGCTTTTAACATTCACTTTCATAAGATTTTGAGTTTTAAATTTTCTCATACATCAAATGTCATTTTTTAATAAATTCTTCTCCATATTCTCATTTTACTCTGTATTAGTTCACAAAAGTCTTCTTGCGTTTCTCTAAAAATATTACCTTTATAATTTCTCATAGCACAAAAATATTCCATCACATTCCTATACTGTAATTTGTTCAGTCATTCCCCAACTGATGGACACCCCATTAGTTTCTCGCATTTTGCCACCAGAAAAAGCTGCTATAAATAAAGTTGTGGGTCTTTTTTACTCCTTCTTTGATTCCTTCGGAGTCTAGGCCTGGTTGTGGTATCCCTGGATCAAAGTTTAATAACTTTTTGGCTGTTGTTCCAAGTGCATTTCAGAATGGCTAGACCTGGTCACAGCTCCAGCAGTGCAGTAGTGTATGTGTGTACTCACAGCCCCTTCAGCATTTGTCATTTTCTCTTTTGTGTCATCTCCGCTAATCTGATGCCACCCATCATGTACACCAACCCAAATGCATCCAGAATCTTCCTTAATCCCCTCACATCACACAAAGCACTGTTACCAGATTTCTTATGTAATATTATCTACTGTAACTATTTGTTAACATGACCTGTCCCCTGTTAAGCTGTGAGCTTCAGGAAGACTGGGAGCAAGCCACTTAATAGATAGTTATCGAACTGAATTGAATCTTTGCCATTGCATACTTTTGTGCTCTCTGCAAAGTAGGTATTTAATAAATGTCTTTTGGTTATTTTTGTACCTGTGGCTTCTCCACTGCCTGTTTGAATTCAGGGTTCTGTTGTGACACAGAATGCTGTTTAAATCTAGTAATATTCACTGGTTTAGTGTTTCTTAGAGTTCGTTGCTGTATAATATTTTTTTAAGGAGGGTTGGAGCACACCTGTGATTTCATTGCTGTCAGGACCTCCCAGTGAGGAAACTCCCTCAACCAGTGCAGATTAGTAATTGTTCTTCACTTTTATTTTCAGTATGTTTCCTGGGGTACCAAGAGGTTAATGACATGCCTCCAGTCATTTATCCAGTATGGTTAGCACAATATCCCTTCTACCATATTGCCTCTCAAAATAATTGCCAGAGGACCTTTAGTAAGAAGGAGGGTCTTGGGGCAGCTAGGTGGCGCAGTGGATAGAGCACCAGCCCTGAAGTCAGGAGTACCTGAGTTCAAATGCGGCCTCAGACCAAACACTTGACATTTACTAGCTGTGTGACCCTGGGCAAGTCACTTAACCCCAACTGCCTAAAAAAAAGAAGAAGAAGAAGAAGGAGGAGGAGGGTCTCCTGTCTTTAGTTTCCTAGTTACTGACCCATAAAACAGAGTAAAAAGCTGTATCGAGTTTGGTTGACCCAGATGATTGGCTGTAGGACTTATACTTATTATCTTTCTGATTTCAAAATTTGTAGGGAACTCCCACTTTATATTGAACATTACAAACTTTTTATGTTTCTTATATTTCAACCAAACACTTTGGACTCCAACCACATTTTAACATTTTATACTGTGAACCTTGATCATGGAAAGATTTTGCCAAACAGTAGTCCAGTGTTGTAATCTACTACCAGTTTTGATTTCCCTGTAAGTGGCATTGCAGTGTGGTTTTAAAATGTTTTGTGTTTTCCGTAGGCTGTGAGTCTAATGGCTCATTCATTTTATTGGAAGTGGTATTCTTCAAGCTGTGGTTTCTAACTTTTTTCCCTGCTTTTTTCAATCTACAGGGCTTTTTTCTTACCGTTTCACCAGAATCTATATTAAAAATAGCTCGCCAAGCTTCTGAAAGCAATAAGATCTTCACTTTGAATCTTTCTGCACCATTTATTAGTCAGTTCTTCAAGGAACCAATGATGAAAGTTATGCCTTACGTCGACATCCTATTTGGAAATGAAACCGTAAGTTATCTTTTTTTTTTAAGTTGTCATTCAAGATTCTTGGTATGTTAATAAAGGTTAACTCCTTACAAAAAATGTAATTATACTCAGGTATGCTGTGGTAAATTTACCTTAATTTAGTCTTTGTTGTTTCAAAATTTTCAACATTTTTAATGCTTCATAAGTCCTCCTTTATCTGTGTGTGTGTGTGTAAATGCCCATTTTATGATACTTGTTCAATTCAGAATGCCGGAAAAAAAAACTTTTTTTTTTTCACTTTAAAAACCTCATGTAGAAAGTGACCCTTGACTTCTCCTTAGAAGGTAAACAGACATCCTATGAACTGGAAGTGAGGAGAAGAGAACATTTTAGATATGGGGGACCAACTGCCTGTGCAAAGTCACACAGTTGAAGGAAATGAAAAGCTAGGTCCAGGGAACATCTTAAAGGCCAATGTGACAAGTAGAGAGAGTGTTGGAAGGAGAGTAATATGAGGCTGACAGTGTAGTTGGGAGCATGATAGAGCTTTTTCTGTATTTCATCCTGGGGGTGGTAAAGAACCACTGAAAACTTTTGGGGAGTGCTCCGAGGTCACATCCGTGTTTTAGCAGTACCAGCGATGTGGAAGATGGGCTAGAGAACAGCAGGACCAGTAGAAGGCTATTCCAAGAGTTCAAGAAGGAAGCAATTAGAACTTGAAGTAGATTAGAGGTCTAAGTGGAGGGAAGAGAATGACTATAAGATGTCATTAAAAGAGACACTGAAAAGACTTGACTTTATCATGAATTTTCAGGAAATTCCTTGTGGGTCAGGGCTCATGGAATCATAGGTTCGTATATGTAGATATAGATGAAGAAACTGATGCCCAGAGATACTGTGATTTGTCCAAGATAAAACAAGTAGTAAATATTAAAGCCAGGATTCAAACCCACAATCTTCAACTCAAAATTCAACTCACTTTTCTGTTCCACTCCACTGCCGATTGAAATCATCTACCTCCAGACTAAAGTCTGTTGGGTGTTTGTTTGTTTGCTTTTTAATGTGAGGTTTTCCAACTTCTTAGTCTAGCCATTTTGGTTTGATGTATGTTTGTAAATTAATCCAACACTAGGAGAACATAACAGCTTGTATCTTTGGGGCAGAACCTTCAAGAGCTCATGGTCATGAGGGAGGATTCTGGGAAAATGGGGAATAGGTCAAAAAAATTCTGAACTCTCAAGATTTTCTCCCACACAAAAAGATAAAATAGTGCCTTAGAGCCAACATAGAGTAGTAAAAATAAATAAGAATGGGGGCAGAACAGGGGTTCTCCTGGGACAACTGGAGAAGATTTGAAGAAAAATCCCAGGATGAGGTTTGGTCCTTGTGAAGGGCAAACACCTCCGGGCGAGGGGCAGCTTAAACAAGTGGCAGGCCCTGGGGTTAGTTGGGTTGGGAGACTTCCTTGGCCCCAGCCACAGGAACTTTCACCCCTGAGACTGGGAGGGGTCAGAGCCAGAGAAGATCCAAAGAACCTCTGTTGACCAGGAACATGTCAGACTTTCAGGGCTTTGTTTAAAAATAAACCAACCAACCAACCTGAACTTAATAGAAGATTTGACATACAAGAGCCAATAGTAATACAAGGTGCATACCAAAGACTAATTACAAGGGACTAAATAAGGACAGTCTGTTTACCTTTTGTGTTTGTAAAATGTAAAATATACGTCTAAGATTGTTATTGGTTATTGGGTAATTTGTAAGAAAGATTTGGGTAGATTTGAGTGTGATATGACTTTAAAAAGTAAAACCGTTTAGGAACAGCTAAAAGGAGCAATTATCTTATACAAATGAGGTGTGAGAGGAAGAAACCACAGAGGAATTAGATGGAGGAGGAGCATTGATAGTTTTGGAAACCTACTTTCATCAAGAATGGGTTCAAGAGAGAACTATCTATCTATCTATCTACCTATCTATTGTATAAAAGTTTTCTAAATTCAGGAAGAAATAAAATGCTTAAGCAGTAGAGAGAGGAAGAAGATAAGGGAGGGATCTCTAGAGGGGAGGGTGAGGAAACAGGTCAAAGGGGTGTATAAAAGGGTGTTTAAATTAATGGGAATGGGAACATGAGGGAAGGGTCCTTGCAGAGGGATTCGGTTAAGTAACAGGAGGGCAAGGTAACAGGTAGAAATAAAATAGAGGAGTCAGGAGGGATATGAAACGAGAGAGATGCGCAAACATAAAAACAAAGATCAGGAGCACAATTTGTTAGGGAAAGTATATGTCTGTATATGTATGTATATGTGGATGAATATATCTATATATAAATATAGCTATGCTTAATTATACCTTCTGGTGGGAGAAGGGGGAGAAAAGAACAAGGTAAAAAAGGTATAGCAGAGAACAAAAGAAAACTTACAAGGAAGCAAAGAAAAGATGGACAGCTCTCAACACGATGCCTAGTGTTTATTATATAGGCTTTCTTGAAATGGAAATTTATTACTACATAGTTTGAATCCTCTCTTACATTCTGCTTTTTGTCCTTATTTTGTATTTAAGTTTATAATATGTTTCTTTTTCTTTCTTTTTTTTAAAGTTTATTTGAGGCTCGTACAAAGGCACAGAGATGAGAAATGGAATGTCATTTGTGAGTAGCAGACAAGGCCATTTTGGCTAAATCACAGGGTTCAGAAAGGGAAGAGATAAGATAGCTGGGGCTGTGTTGGGAATGGCAGATCGGTGGACTCCCTCTTCCTGATCTCAGGCACGGCCAGGATCCTCCTCTCTGCTTCTTTGTGTTGTTGTTGGGTCATTCAGTTGCCTGTCTCTTTGTGACCCCACTTGGGGATTTTTTGGCAGAGATACTGGAGGGCTTTGCCATTTCCTTCTCCAGCCCATTTTACAGATGAGGAAACTGAGTCAAGCAGGGTGAAGTGACTTACCCAGTTCACACAGCTAGTATCTGTGGCTGGATTTGAGCTTGTGAAGATGAGTCTTCCTGATTCCAAGCCCACTGCTCTATTCACTATGCCATCTGTATAAGGCTTGAGTGAATGTTAGTCTGCTTCACCTCCTGCCCCAGAGAAGGTATAAAGATGAACAATGTTAGGTGCCTGGATGGGAAGGGGATGAAAAATTGGAACCTCCCAAATAAGAAAGTAGCACAATTCATGTCCTTGTGCCTCCATTATAAAGACGATGCCTTCTAAGTTGTCTTTGGTGTTCATGGGTTGAGAAGTCTGGAAACCTCTGCAGCTGCCCGTGATTTCAGTCCTCTGAGGCCCGCTCCAGGTTTGCTGAAGCCTGCATGCCCACACTGAACCTCACTCCTCTCTCAGCCCAGCGCAATATACCTTTCTGATCAACATCCAGGTTATCTTGGGCTGGAAATTTGTTTCACTCTGTCTTTTTGTGGGTTCTGCTGCTTTAGAATTTGTTTAGAGCCGTTTTTTATAGGTATTTGGAGGGGTTTGAGGGAGAGCTCAAGCAAGTCACTGCTTTTACTCTGCCATCTTGTCTCTGCCAACTGATTGCAATATGTTTGAGCCTGTGGTCCTCCTCCATGTTGTGATGAGACTTCCATGTAAAACTCTGGGGAATTTATGAGATGTTGACCCGTTTTAAATTCCCATCAAATTTCCTCATTTTGTTTATTAGTACCCATTTGCCCCTGAGTTTGAATACTATATCTGAAAGTAATAAAACTGAATTTCTTTTCACACTTTCCTTATACTCAAACTGGGCCGTCTCTGCTATTTCAGTTAAATAAGTGGGCAGTATGTATTTTATATTTGTTTTAGAGTTCATATTTAGATGAGAGGTGATGTGGAGTGCTGGAAAGAGCACAGGTCTATGATGGGACCAGCCGATGATCATGAGACAACCAGTTTGCTCCACTGAGCCCCAGCTACCTTTAAAGTGAGGCACTTATCTTATATGATCTCTAAGAGTCCTCCTAGATTTAAAATGCTGTGATTCTTAAATTTTTATCTTCCCTGTGATGTGTCTTATATCAAATTGATGTTTGTTTTTAAAAAAAGGTTTGTTTTCCCTTTAAATCTGTCTTAAGTGCAGCCTTAAAAGCCTCATTTTGGAATAAGTAGCATAATCATTCAAAACTTGGTATTTCCCTTCCCTACATTGCTTTCCTTTCCCTCCTACCTGGTTCTACTTTCAGTCCCCTAGAACAATGAATAAGTGGTCACATTTTAATGTATATTCTAGACATTTTTTTTCTGCTAGCCTTGGAATGAGAGATACTGTGCATCATGAACTTATATCTTAAGGAATGCCGCAGAGTCCTGCCAGCCTCATAGAAGTGGTGGTAGGACATACTGATGTTGCTAATTTGTACAAATGATAAAGTATCACCCACTGGTTCAACTGATAACAGAGATGTTTTAGGCAAGTACCTGGGAATCAGATATAAAGAACAAGTAAAGACCCAACCCTTTTTGTCTTAAGTTGTCAAATTTTTTCCTAACTTCTCTGTTGTTATTGAAGTTACCGCCATCCTCCCAGTCCCCTAGGTTTGCAACCTCAATGTTACCCTCAGCTTCTCACTCCCATTCACTTCATATATCCATTCTGTTGTCAAACCGTATCCCTTCTACCTTTACAATATCTCACATATAAAACAGTCCCCCATCACCTCTGGACTATTGCAGTAGCTGCTGGTAACTCTGCCTGCCTCACCTCTCTCCCCACTCAAATCCATGCTCCACATAGTTGTCATAGTGCAGCTCTGACCTCGGCACCCTGTACTCAGAAAATAGGTGCTTCCTCTTCTCACCAGAATGTAATACAAAATTCTCCTTTAGTATGTGAAGCCCTTCCCACCTTGGCCCCTTCCCATGTTTCCAGTCTAACACTTCATCCCCCTCCCCACATGCCACAATCCAGCTTCCCTGGCCTTCTAGATGATCTTCCCCCATAATACTCTATCCGTTTTTTGCCCTGGCTGTCCTTCATGCTTGCAGGGCTCTCCTCACCTTTTCAAGGATGAGCTCAGATCCCTTCTACTGCAGAAGACTTGTTCCAGT